GGTAAAGTTCAGCAGACGTGTTTGTTTACATTTTAGCCGCTGCCTGCCATCAACATGTATAGTCACAGTGTGCAAGGTGTGAGAGGAGGGAGGGAGGGGCGAAGCGATGCTCCAATCAGCGTCTCTACAGGCTCCAGTAGCAGCGACAGCATCAGAATTTGCAGATCACATTTTTTAAACGGAGATCAGGCGCGTGCAGCCATCATGTGTCACTCAGTACAGCGTCCATACGGAAACTCACCTAGGAACTATTATTATTATCTGCTGCACTTTCACGCAAAACAAAATTCATCATGTAACAGAAAAAATAAATGGAAACCGTACGCAAATGGACCGAACTGAACAGGCCAAACTGAAACCCGACCCATATGACCCGAGCTGGATTATCAACAAACCGAGTCCTCGTCTGTTACAGCTGATCTCTGACTTGCAGAAACGGACCAATCACAAAGTCAGAGTCATCACTAATTCGTACAGGGACTCCCTCTCCTGTGACTGTGTCTGACTGGTCTGTTGGCAGATCAACCGTTTTTAACATTTTGGGATTTCAACATAAGTGCTTTTTGAAGTTTGACTCGTGTGATTGTTGTTAGCTTCACAGATAACAACACAGTCTTGTGTTTAAGCCTTCAGAAAGTTATACACACACCAGGTATTGTCACGGTCTGAGGTATTTCCCTGCTGTCACTCCCTGTCTTTTGAGTTTCCCTCTGCAGGTGGGCGTGTCTGGAGGTGACCAAGCTGCAGCAGATCTGCTCATCAGCTGGCCAGGCGTATTTAAGGAACTGGGAGACTCCTACACTTCGCTGGATGATTACTCTACCTGGGTACCTTCTAACAGCTGCTAGTTTATCTTGTTCAAGCTCTTTAAGCCTTTTGAGAATTAGATTGTGTTTTTGGATTTTTAAGAATTTAATGAGTTTTGGATTTTTGCCCTTTGACCTCCTGCTCTTGTTCCCAGACAAACCTACACACTCTCATCTTGGACTGGCAGAACTCTGGAGTCCACACCACCTGGATCTCCAACCCCGCACGTCTCTCAGCCTCTCCCCTGGCCAGAACCACCTCCAGCTGCCCACCTAAACTTCCTGGACCTCCATAAACCCAGCTCCCTCCACGTCTCACTTCTGGATCTCAGTCCCTGCAAGCCACTCATCTTAGACCGGACCACTCCTCCCTCAAACCAGTTCCCTCCTCTCCAGACCGTAAGTCCTCCGCACAAGTCTGACTTCCTGTTCCTTCCGCAAACTGGTTCTAACTCCGATCTGTCCACAGTTTTCCCGCACCAGCCTCCCTGTGCAAGAACTCGGCTTCGTTTACGCTGCTCCCTTGGTTTCCCTTCAATAAATCCTTATTTAAACCTTTTAAACCGTCTCCGATCTGATTCTGTATGTCGTGGGTTAGATCACTTCACCACAACATGACAGGTATAAATGCTGGAGCCAGAGCAGATAAAACATACAACTAAACAAGACTTAGAAATTGTAAACGCTAAATTATCAGAGGTAACTGGAATCATCATCCACACATAATTTTACATATTGTAGATATTGACGCCCCCCTAGTGGCTGGCTGCAGTAATAGTAACTAACGTTTTTAAATACATTTAACACTGAAGTGCATTCAAACTGAATATTTCGGGTTTGTTTGGAACAGCAAGAGTATAAAAAGATGATAAATTGGTCATTATTTTTTATTTCCTGTGCCTTCTCTGAACTTGCACTACCTGCAGATAAATGGACAGAATTTATTCAGCATTTATCCAGTTTTTCTGACCACTTAAAGCCCTTACTCATACGTTAATTTCATCGATTCCCAGATTACTGTTTATTAAAAAAAAACATAGAACCAATCAGGCATAACTTTATTATTTGAAGTTGTTCACAAACGTTTACTTTTTATAGGGACTGAAGTGATTGAGTCTACAGATAAAAACGTGGTTTGATGTTCATTTTAAAAGTAAATTCAGACCAGGGTAGTTAAGTTTTACTGTAATATATTTGTATTATCACATTTAAAATTGTAATTATGTTGCCTTATTTTAATTTATTTACTTTTTTATTGTGTTTATCACTGTTTTGATGTACTTTTGTTTTGAAGGCAAATCTTTTCACAAATTTTAGGATGACCTACATCTGGGTTGAATCTGCTGGGACCCTTGATGGGAGGACTGGTTACTGTCATCGGATCTATGATCAGGAAGATGGTCAAGGCTGATCAGCTTTTAGTTAAAAACAGCAAAAGAAAACAAGACATGAGGACAGCTGTTGAAGTTCTCTATCCATTTACTGAAACCCACAAATGTGGAGGTTGATGATTGGATGGTTTGATGCTCTGCCTTTCATCTGCTTTTATTTAATCTCTGACTGTTACGTGCTTTATGATGACCAGGGAGGCCACAGGCCAAAATGCATCAATACAAACCAGCTCAGTAGCCTATAGTGCTAGAGTGTCCGCCCTGAGACTGGGAGATCAGGGTTTGATTATTGACCGGGTCAGACCAAAGACTTTGAAAAAATGGGACCCAACATCTCCCTGCTTGGCACTCAGCATTAAAGGTTGGATTGGGGGGTTAAACCACCAAATGGTTCCCGAGCGCGGCTGTGTCTGCAGCTCACCGCTCCCCCAGTGGATGGGTCAAATGCGGAGAACACATTTCGCACACACATCAGTGTGTGTGTCAATTAATGGGACTTTAACTTTAACAAATGGGTCTTTTTTTATGATTTGTGTGCTAACAGAGCTTTTACTTTTTTAAGGGAATGTGGTTGATTTTCATGCTGAGCTGGTCCTGCATCTTGGAGTGATGACAAAGTTTAAGTTAAAAAAGATAACAGGTTTATTACCATCCAGTCCTTGATACAAGCATCAGTGCAGCGGTGGAGAACCATGCAGCCCCAAAGTGCTTCTGTCTTTCTGGCAGCTGTCCACTGCTTATAACCCACAGCATCTCTAAAAAGTCCTAATTTGGTAACGGCACATTCCTAAGCATGCTTATAATAGCTTGTAGGAGAATGGAGTCTCCACGGAGTCGCCTTATTGTTTATGACTTCCTGACAACAGTTCCAGTTTTCTCTCCACAGCCTCTAAGATAAGATTCTTCTTTGGGGCTCCAAATGAATGTGGATGACATTATTTTTAAGCTGCAGTTATTACAACATTTTATGATATTTTATATACAGATAAGTTGTTTATAGCAGACACTACAGGATACTAAACAGTTTTGCTTGCTTTTAGCAGCTTCCAGTATCCATTATTAATTTGCTGTGGTTGTACTGAAAATAACTTATCTCCTCGCTGTGCGTTCACCTTTTTAACACCTTCATCTACCTGCTAAAAGGTCTCCCCAGCCTTCGTTAGTGTCTAGAGGAGTGATCAGCTGTGTTCATGATCTACAACATGCAGGAATTGTGCTGGAAGCAGACTGCAGCGTCACCATGTTGGCTCCACTCTACTCCAAAGCTCCCTCCACCGGCAGAGACCAGACCGGCAACTCTGAAGTTGCAAGTGTGGTATTCTGGCCACAGGGGGAGGTGGGGGCTTGAGTGACATTTCATTAGCCATGTAAAGGGTCATTTTAGCACATGCTGGCTCAAGAAAATGATTTAAAACTGTGAAAAAGTTGCCCAGTCTCCCTTTAACTGGCCAGTGTGGAACTTGCAGGGTAGAGACGTTTTAAAAGTGGAAGTGTCAAAGTCACAGAGGTTTCTGTAAGTGTAAATATTCAGAAGAGAAGTTCTCACAAACCTGGATCCGTTTTTATATCAAAATAGGGCTGGGCGATATGGCCTATAATCAATATCAGGATATATTGAGGATTTCACCGTGATAACGATAAACAGACGATAACTACAGGTATGCACAGACACAAAAGTTGCCCACTAGATGGAGCTGTCACATGTGTTATGAGTCACATTTTTAATTGACATGAGAAAAATTTTCTCGATAAAAGTCAGAAATTTCGATAACGATTAATGTTCGATTTATTGCCCAGCCCTACATCAAACACGTTTAAATATTTACAGACTGAGTAAAAACCTGAATATGCTGCAGCATCAGACATCATTTATGAGCAGGATTCTGCAACCTTTACAGTCCAAAGAGCCATTTCCCCATCAGTTCATTTAAAACTTTAGAGCCACAATTATTACAGGGTCTTTTGCAAACAGACACTTTGTAGTTTTTGATCAATTTCTACAGAAGAGGATTAAGAAAATATTTTTCTCAAATATCTGACAATACTTTTGCCTGAGAGAGAAAAAAATCAGATTGAAGTGAAATTCGGGATTTTTTTTTATTTTTCTGAGATCAGTGTCATGAAACTATTTCCTTTTAAGAAAAGGGATTTTTGAAAACAAAACAGCAAATACATCTCTTTCATTTTTTTCTATTGGAAGTTTCTCATGGAAAATGATGTTAAAATTACAATACTGATGCTTTTAGTGTCGTTCTGCTGTGGGTATTTTATGCAGTTATTCCATTAAAGAAAACAGAAAAACTGCTTAAACCTGCATTTTTATTACATCTTTATTAAAAAACGCAAGTCAGATTTTTGTTATGTTTCTAGCCAAAACGATTAAAATCCAGTGTGAATGGTCCCAAGAGCCACTAGTGGGGGCGACCCCTGGTCATCATGAGTACTCTAATTTCCCTCTGGGACTAATAAAGTATTTTTGAATTGAATTTATATAGAACAGGTGATGCCGCTTCTCAAATCTACCACTTGATGGTAGCAAAGAGCTACATTTTAACAGCTTGCTCACATTTCTGAATATTGTGGGACGTTCAGTGAAATGAGCTGTGTTTAAACTGCCACACTGTATTTTTATACCTGGAACAGCTGATCAAATGCATTGCAAAAGAAAGACTACAGCCTCATCCAACAGAACTAGCTTTATGTAATCCATCAGACTCCCCATTTTCAGCTCGGTTTAAAACTAACTCGGTGATTTTGTTCTACCCCAAAATCAATGCACTGAGAAAAATCTGAACGCTACAAGTTTGTGCAACAGATTTATTGTAAAAGTTCTTCCATCAGCACAGATGCTACGTAGGCTTGAATAAAGCAGGAGTGTAGGACTGGTTTCATTTAAACCCTCTGGTCCCCAAACAAGCTGTGGTATTTACAAAAAGGAAAAGGAATACAAAAGTCCTACAGTACTTAGCTTACATGTTAACAAAGTGCTTTTTAATTATTCTCTTTTGTCAGGTTTACTGAAAAGACAAAACTTGTCACTGGGCAGTTTTGACTTTTCAATTTTTGAAATAATTTGATCAAACAAATTTAATGAAATCAACTTGTTTTGTTTTCTGAAGTTATTTTTGTCTTTACTCTTTCCTGCCCTTAATTAAATGAAGTTTTGTTTTACGATAAACCTGAAAAAAGAAGCCTTCCTTAAGCTCCGCCCCCTTGTCTTTACACATGTGGTTGAGGAGTGAGAACAGAAACAAGAAGCCTGTCTTATGGTCCCCATCACTGATGAGTCTCAGCGTCTCACAGACCTACATGAGCAGACCAGAGAGGATCTGAGACGTTCCTCCATAATGTTCTTCTGCATGGATACAACAGGGAGTAAAACAACACAGTGTAACTTCACCAGCAGGTGGGAAAAACAGTCTGTCAGTTTACTAGTTTCAGTTTTTAGTCCTAAAACAGCTGGAGAATCCTGGATCCATCACCATGTGGAGGAGTTCCTCTTCCAGGATGTGCTGCTGTGTCCTCAGTGTCCTCTGCAGCCACTCCAGCTGGGACACGCCGTTAGTCAGGCATGTCGATGCAAAGTTTAGGTGGCGGGACAAAGTACTTCCCAGGGCTCTGTGTGATCACCACGCCTGTCTTCTTGTGGACCATGGGGGCGATCTTTGGTGGCGCCTCAGGGACGTGGAAATCCTCCAGTGACTCGGGGTCGTCGCTGCGTTGGAGGTCGTAGGACACGTTCCCGTATTCTCTCAGGAAGGGGAGCAGCTCCAGCAGGAAGTGGCAGAAGTCCTTACGGATGCCAAACCACCCTGATGGAGATCAGAACTCGTTAGGTGCAATTCAATCAGACACACGATACATCAAGTCATCTGAAGTATCACAACAAGAAATCTGTTCCTGTTAAAAAGAAAAAGGATGGCTGCGCAGAAACAAAGACTCACAGTGGTTCCCCCCCTTCTGGCCAAAGGTGGTGGCCATGAGTGTGAGCAGAGAGAGCCACAGAGGGACAAACACACACATGTAGCTGAGACTGTTGTGGCCGTCCAGCTTGTGCACCAGAAGGATCTGAGAGGAAAAAACAAATCATTTGAATAAAAAACCCCAAACATCCCCGTAGACGATAACAGGGTGGTTTAATCGAATGTATGGAGTTAAAACAGTTTCAACTTTTCTTGTTGTCTTTTTTGGATGTCGTTCTAAGCCATAAAATCCTTGATGTCACTTTTTAAATGGTGAACAATCTGTTTTATAATAACAATTTAAAAAGTTGAGATTCAGATTAAATGGATCAAGTCTGTGGTTTATCGCCTCATTTCAGTTCCGAAACACAGAACAAAACAAAGAAAAGGTTTGAAGTCAGACCTCGAAGGTAAGAAGAGGTACAACGATGGTCATCCAGCTGATTGCCATGGTGATGTGAGTCCGCCGTTGCTCGGCAATGATGTCTATGGAGCGGAGGAAGAGGACCGACCAGATGATGTAGTAAAGGACAACAAGGCACAAGAAGGACATGAGGATCCACAGAGGGACACAAACCACCTGCAGGAGACAAATCCAGAAAATCTTTCGCAATAGCTATAGTGGGACTTACATTTAACACACGTGTGTGTGTGCGTGTGTGTGATAAGGACAGGATGTAGAATGCATCCCGATCCATGAAATCATGAAACATCTAATAGCTTTATTATATGATTTATTGATCCTCACCAGCCAAGGCCAGTTGATGATTCTGTCCAGCCTCAGAGCGATGAAAATGAACTGCAGAATATTTACAGAACACAACACCTCCAGCTGAGGAGGAAAACAGAATCATTTCAAAAACAGGACACAGTACTCGTGTAACAGGTGTCGCAGTAGGGCTGAACGATCTTAGGAGAAAATTAAATTGCGATATTTCTAGCAGAAATTGCGATTTCAGTTCAATTCATGATTTTCTGCAAACAAAGGTCCAACACTAGCCTGTCAAGCCATCCTGCATATTAAGTGAACAGCTGGCCTAGATTCTAATCTAGTACAACTAATCATTCACAATAATATTTACTAATACAATAAAAACAGTTAAAGCTATTAATATTTTCTCTCAGCAGGGTTTCCCCCAGCGCTTTATAAGCCTGGCGGCCCACCAGGCTTTGCTTGGCCACCTGCCAGGCTAAGCGCCATGCCCCGTCCCCCTCCCCTACTGTGTCCGCTGACACGAACGGCGCAACGAAACTACAGCTCTCCCCATCAGCTGATACTGGTGAGAAACAGCGGCGGAATGTGTGCTTTCTTACCTCGAGGGAGCGATCGTGTCTAAAGCCCCAGATACACGCTGCTACAGAGACTGGCGACACAAAGAAGAGAGGCATGAAGACGAGAAGCCAGAAGTAGTTTCCTCTCGCCACACGGTCGCACACCAACACTTCAAACATCAACAGCAGGACGTGGAGCCCAACGGCTATCAGCATGGCCTTGAACTCCACACATGTCTCTCCTTCAGCCCTAACAGCAGATACACAAACATCATTAAAGTCAAATCAACAGAGCTAAGAGCTGCAGCAGCTGTGTTTTATGTCAGAAATGTGAGCCTACCTGTACTGAGGGTTGTGGGCCCACACTCCAGTTCCCACAGAAGCCCCGATGATCACCAACAGCTTCCACAACCATATTGGGGTAAAAACTGCCCAGTAGCTCCACTGGATGACCCCATCCAGCCTCAAGGAGAGCAACACGGAGAACAGCAGCAGACAGGAATAAATCAGGAACTTACTGTGAGACAGGAGAGAGAGAAACACAAATGATCATTTATACAGCTCAACATTCCACATCTACAGCAAATGATTAATATTTGACTTTTCTACTCTGTGGATCATTTTTAGAGCCTATAATATGACTAAACATGGTAATGTAATGCAATATTTTAAAACTAATTATTCTACGATCAGTCTTTATATCTGAAGTTGTGCAGATCCTAAAATAAACGTGTGCACTGGCGGAAAAGTTATCATTTCAATAAAGTTGTATTAAATCTACGATTTGACTAGAAAACTACTAATAAAATAAAAAAATAAATAAATAAAACGTATTATAACCTGACTTTAGCTTGACTATATATTACATCGATCTGCCACACATTCCCCAACCTAGCTGAACAGGAAACTTGACATTTTTCCTAATTCGAAACCTGATTTACAGCATCTGTTGTAAAACCCGCTGTTAGCGGACCTGTTTTATTGGACAGTTCACTTAAGTTGGAAAAATGCCACAAAAAACGTAAAAGACAATAACTTTCATATCAAAAGTAACTGTTACAGTTAGGAAACTAACAGAAGTGTTAGCATTGTTTATGTTAGCATATTAGCCAGGCCTTTAGCAGCGTAACTTCGTCATTTATCTGCTTTAGCAACTTATATTCAAAGACGTTTACGTAGTTAGGTAGAACAACCATTAAACATGATAAATATCAGTATTTTCATAAATATGTCACACATGTTTAATACGGTTTCCAACGAACGAAGAACAGATTTCGCTAACAGTTCTGTAGCTAGTCGTTACCTGGGGTTGAAGTCCTGAAAGAGTCCTCTTAAATTCATGGTGAAGAACACGCTGCTTGTTTAAGTAACTTAATGTTACTCTCCTCGCTGCTAGGGGCGTCCTAACCGCCTATCATGAATGTTACACATTGTACAGTTTAGTGACAGACTAGCTTTGGAGCTCCGTTTCAGCACTGTTTTGATTTTACCGAAACTAACAGGCGGAAATTACGTCAGTTCTCATTTGTTGCTGAAATTGGGGCGTTACTACCGCCACCTAGTGGTAACAAAGGAAAATCTCAGAAATACAGTTTTTCTCCATTGTTTACACAGGTTTTCTGAAAGCATGCCCCACATTGTCAGAACTCTACACACAAATTCACAAAATACACACAGTGGGCAAACCCCTTCAATTTTCCTGCTAAATCAAACTGCATTAAAAACTATGCAATTTCTTCGCAAAATGTATAGATAGATAGATAGATAGATAGATAGATAGATAGATAGATAGATAGATAGATAGATAGATAGATAGATAGATAGATAGATAGATAGATAGATAGATAGATAGATAGATAGATAGATAGATAGATAGATAGATAGATAGATAGATAGATAATCTTTATTGACAGACTCTTAGGTCCAGATAAAATACATATAAAACAACAGATCAATGAAACAAAATAGATAAATAGAAATAAAAAGATAACAGCAAAAAATTGAATAAAAATCTAAATGTAATTAAAAACTTTACTATAAACTGTTCCACACAAGGTTAACCACACAAACACTTCAACCAGTGTTTCCTTATACTGAACAAATAGCGACAACTGCTCACAGTAGGATCAGTGATTGCTGAAATTATACTGTTGGCAGAGCTATCCAGTCGGCCTGTAAAAGTGAATATGATTTTTCTTAAAAGTGCTTTAAAAATACAAATGCCTGCTGTTACAAACATCTGACTGGCATTGCCCCCTCTGGGTATTTTAAGTATGATCCTTAAGGCATCGTTGTATGCAACTTGCAGTTTATTCATGCTGCTTTGATTGTAGGATGACCACAGTTGGGCTGTGTAGAGCGGAGTACAATATGCTTTAAATAAAGCCACCTTAACTGGAGTTGAACAAAAACCAAACTTACGAGCTATACTATTAGCTTGTGCACACAGCTTACAGCACTGTCTGTGGATGTCAGCATCATCACTACTGTGATGTATAATTATGATTAATTAAAATTTTTCACATTCATAAGAACCAGTTGGACACTGACGTTTTTATGTAAAACATTATGACCACAGTTACATGTTATAAAATATGTCTTACTGTATTTTCACACAAAAACGATGCACACAGTGTTCATCCAAACCAACACAAAGTTGCAAATGCAGTGGTCTACATATTCAAACAGAAGAATGTACTGAATACAGTTTAGCCAAAACAAACAAACAAAAAATAAACAACTATGCTGCATCCTCTCCTCGTTTTCTATTTGGCCACCACACCTCATCCACATCACATGCAATGTGGCCAAGCAGTGGGGTAAATATCTCTTAGCATGGCACATCCAGCTATATCTGCATGTGCTTCTTCCATAGCTTGGAGAAGGGGTACGTGTGTGTGTGTGGATTTCAGTCATACACTTTCTATCTCGTTGCAGAAAAACATTGCTCAATGGGATAGAGGCATGGATAATATGGAGGAAGAGAAACAATTAAAAATAGTGGGTAGTCAGTGAACCAGTCACTTACCAGAGCAGCCGTCCCATATGACAACAAGCCTGAGCTGCTCTGGGCCATCCATCTGAACTGGTGGAAGGAGTGTGTTGTGTAGGACGTCCAGGGACATGATGACAGACACCATGTTGAGAAATTGCTGCACACATTGTGATGTTTCCACGCTGGCCAGGAACTTTAACAATGGCACGTTGACCAATGACATTCCTTCCCCACCTTCATCTTTTTGCGAGGTTGAATCCATCCTCATCAATACAAATTAAATGGTGCTCCCCTGCAGCCGCCTCAAGCTCAATCAACTAATAAATGAATCAAGCGAAGCCTCAGCTTGCACGTCCTCTTCAACTACAAGAGGAACAATGCCAGACTTTATAAAATAAAAGTGGGCACTGTTCTTGGGACTTACCGCTCAGGACTGAGTCCAGGTGAAAGTGCTGGCCAAGGAGAATCTTCTCCACACTATCCTGGTCCTCAACCCCACTTGTCAGTGGCCAGAGGGTAACTTGGGATACTGATGTAAGCCCTCTGGAGAGGGGTCCCAACCAGCTCAAAGCGATGCTGCTTTCACTCGTAACTTGCCCGGGGTCAGGGCTGTCTAAATGGGAGGTTATTCTGGAATAAACCCCCCTTTATGAGAAAGGGATCTTAGCTTATCAGTAAGCCTGTTGTTCTGACCTAGGTCAGAAATAAAGCACCAGAGACGATGTTTCTCTTTTTGGGTTCAAATATAGAAAACCCTTTTTAATGAATAAAAGTTTAAAATATAGTAAAATCAGTCCAAGTAGATAAAAGATGCGTAAAAGTCAGATAAGGATGATAAAAGTGAAATCCCCTGTAACTTTGCTTTGGAATAGCAAATATAAAAGTTGTAAAGAGAAAAAATTATCAAAAGAATAATAAATTCATGTATTTTTGGGTTATTTTAAACTTTTTTTGATGATAAAATAAATGCAAACCCCTTTAAGTATAAGTAAAACCTTTAAGTAATATGCTAAGCTGAAATATAAACCTGATATGATAAAATCATAAAAGGATCAATTTAAAATGTAAATACCAAGATTAAAATTATTGAAGTCTTTTGATGGAACACCTGGAAAGCTCAAAAGAAATGTTGTTAGAAAATGTTCTTTTCTTTTTCTTATCCTTTCACATCCCATTGAATCTGCACCGAAGTCCCTTGAGTGTCTGTTAGTGCTTGGTTTTGTCTTCTTAAACTTTTGCTTTGCACTATCTTCCATTGGGAAAGAGAAGGAAACTCATCTGTGGGTTATCCTGTTGTCTAGTGGCTCCGGTTTGGGCCAACTGAAAACAATAAGTGCAATCAATGGCTGTGAACGAGCTGTTCCTCCCCTCCCTGAAAACGCTCATCAGGTGGTCTAGGTCTCAACCATTGCAGTAAGCTGCTGCATGAACACCTGTTTCCAACTAGCAGCACAGCATAAGTTTGGTGGCATAACTGAAGTGTCAGTGGAAGTGTCAACCCTTTTGTCTCAGCCCCTCCGGTGTGAAGACATACGTGTCTACCTGCGCGTGTCCACAGAGCAAACAAACTCGACCCAGACGCTGCTCCATCGACACCTTGCAAAATGTGCCATTATCCTATACCTGTGATCACTGGCTTCAGAGGAAGGTCACACACAGCAAACCGCTTTCGCAACCTTCAAAACCTCCGCTCGTTAAAACCAACTCCCCCCGAAGACACTCACCTGTCTATGGGACTGTGGAACTGCCAATCAGCTGTAAACAAAGCAGACTTCATTACTGCATATGCAAACCACCTGTCACTCGATGCACTGGCTCTCACTGAGACCTGGATCAAACCATGTGACAATGCTACCCCATCTGCTCTCTCAATTAACCACACTTTCTCCACACTTCTCGTGCATCTGGCCGAGGTGGTGGAACAGGCATGTTTCTTTCCAAGTTAGTTGCTACCCATCACTAAATACAACTCCTTTGAATACCATGCCATCCAGGTAACTGTACCGAAAAAATTCTTTTTGGTTGTCATATATCGCCAACCAGGTCAACTCGTAGACTTTCTTGATGAACTCGACATCCTGCTGTCCTCCATTCCTGAGCACGACTGTCCCACATTGGTCCTTGGGGACATGAATATTCACCTGGACAATCCCAGCTCATCAGGCTTCCTGTCACTAATGTCATCATCTGATATAAAACTAGTACAAAGTCCTCCAACTCACAAAGCTGGAAAAGCATTTGACCTCATTTCACCAGAAACTGTGCCATAGACACAATCTCTGTCATACTGCTGCATCTTTCCAATCATTACTTCATCCATTTCAGCACGACTCTACAAGGGAGGTCCACTGCTTCCTCCCCAATGGTCTCATTCTGCCGCAACCTCCGCAATTTGGCACCCAACCACTTCTCCTCTCTTGTTGCCTCCACTCTTCCATCTCCCAGCACATTCTCTGCTTATGAAGTGAATGAAGCCACCGAGTCCCTCTGCTCCACACTCTGCTCTTGTCTTAACAACTTGTGCCCTTTAGCCACTAGACCTGCTAGATCCTCTCAGTCGCACCCTTGGCTAAATTATACCCTCCGGTCTCTACGCACCAGTCTTAGAGCTGCGGAACGGAAATGGCGCAACACAAAAGATCCTGGTGATCAATTGAAATTTCATGAATAACTGTCCTCATTCTCTTCCAGCATCACTGATGCAAAGAAAGCTTTCTACACTGACAAAATTCTCAGCTCTACTGACTCTCAGAAACTATTTTCGACATTCAAAACTCTGCTCAACCCTCCATATCCACCTCCTACCAACAATCTATCTGCTGACACCTTTGTCTCATTCTTCACTGACAAAGTGGCAGCTATAAGCAAGCAGTTTACTCAACTGGCCACTCCTGAACATTCACTACCACAAACTCCTTCTAGCCCAACCATCTCAAGCCCTACTGCTTCATTTTCCTCTTTTTCCCCTCTCACTGAGAACTGTGTGTCCAAGCTTCTCACATGTAGCCGCCCTACTACATGCTCACTGGACCCCATTCCGACTAAGCTGCTCCAAGCTATTACTCCTACAGTAGCCGCAGCAGTCACACATGTGATCAACACATCACCGACATCCGTTACATTTCCCACCTCTCTCAAGCATGCTCAGGTTAAACCGCTGCTGAAAAAAAACATCTCTTCCTCCACATCATGTGGAGAACTACCGACCTATCTCCCTCCTCCCTTTTCTGTCCCAAATCATTGAAAGGGTGGCTTTCAAGCAGATCACAGAATACCTCTCACAAAACTGTCTGCTTGACCCTTACCAATCCAGGTTCAAAAAGGGCCACTCCACTGAAACTGCTCTGTTAGCAGTGACAGAATCCTTTAAAGAAGCTAGAGCGACTGCCAAATCCTCAGTGCGTATCCTGCTTGAATAATCGGCTGCATTTGACACTGTCAACCATGCCTTCCTTTTGTCCACACTCTCTAGCATGGGCATCACAGAGAAAGCACACGCCTGGTTTGAATCGTACCTCACAGGACAATCA